CCCCCGCGAAAAAAAAAAAAAAAAAAAAAATCTCGAAACGAAGTAATAGCAACAGCATAAATAACCACTATCAAAAGCTCACTCCAGCTGCATGACCAACGCATCCACCAGTCCTCCGGGGAATTGTTCGAGGAATAAATAAAAGACACTCTCGGTCTCATTACTTTCCCCCCTCGTCCTCCCTTTCCATCGCCTCTACACCGTGTCCACACTGGCCATCACAAGATTAGCTTTTAACCGTACACCGACGATAATTTATCAAAGTACTTCGTAAAAGATTAAAGGTGGCCAGCGTCGACAATGAGTCTGTGAATTTCCAGGAATCACAGGCTACAAACAGGAAAATCAATCGTATCTCTCTCTCCTTCTCTATTCCTCCCGTTTCTTTCTCCCCTTCTCTATAATCCCACACGTTTCCGCTTCGCCAAAGAAGAATTATGATCGATGATTAAAACGTTGTTCGCCGGCGGGGAGAGAATGAAATGGAATGAACAGGATTGGAACAGCAGCAGGCGTGAAACAGAGACAAGAGATAGGTCCTAGCAGGAGGGAGAAGCAAAGGAAAGGTAGGGTAGTAGTGAAAGAGGCAACGGTTGTGGAGGGTACAAGAGGGTTGATACGTTTCACAGGAGGGTAGTGTTGATGCAGTCGCAGAGCCAGTCAGTAGCTGCTACGGCACGGAGCCGCGCGCGCGTGCTCCCACTTTCGAGCGGCTCTCCAACCGCACGATGTCGGAGAATCGTGGAAACATGACAGAAAAGTACCAGCCATCACGAAGAGATTAATATCTGGGGAACTAGAGGACTTCTTCTACGTAACCATGTGCCTGCGCCTCGATTCTACGGTGATTTAACGTTCGAAAAAAATTCTTCAAACTTCAGTACCGTGCGATGTATACAACACGCCGTCTAAATCTGCGAGTTTCTTCGAAGAACTGTTTCCGAATTTCAAGACTCGGAGAGAGAGTAGAATGTCGTACGTTGACCATTCTGTAATTGTGGCTGAAGAAATGTGTGAGAAGAATCAAACAGGTGGACGAAAAAGCGAACAGCTCGTTTATCGTACAGCTTCTTATCGTATCTCCGCTCAGTTCTACTCGAGAGTTTCGTGAGAAGCCTATGTTAGAGACGTGACAATCGTAAGGATTTGGTCGAATATTCTCATTGCAATCGTGAGACACTGGTGTAATCGTTCGATCCGTTAATTTATCCAAGAAATTAAATATACAATAAATCGTGTAAATTTAAAGATCTGTCCGAAGTATATGAAACCAAACATAAGTTTCTTGTCAAGTGTCGTTCACAGAGAAATGAAAGAAAAAGAGGTGAATTCGTGCACGATTAATGTTGCCTAATGATACAACGCGAGATCCACTTTGGAAGATTGCTTCTAGAATCCCGCGGCGTTCGAGCTTGACGAGAGAAAAGGCTGTTGAAAAATATCACGTTCGTTAAGCGGCAGCTGCTCGGTTTTATTGTAATTTACGCGGAGGGAAGCTTGTCTCGCACGCAAGAACGCTATCGAGAAACCAATTCCATCCGGGATCTCGTAAATAATCCCCGATAAAAATGCGAGAAGACCCGCTTGGAAATATTGGATGGTAATAATCCGGACAGCTGTATCGAGAGAATTTCGAAACGTCGTGCTGGCAGTTCCTTTTTTTTTATATAAAGAACAAAAGAGACGGACACGAGAAAAGAGACGAAATTACTCTTTTCAATTGAGATTCGTAATAGCCTAGTCTCGAGAGGCAGCGGGTGAAATTCGTTAATTAAAAATTTAATTATCCGAAGGACGGTGAAAGTAAGTTGTGCTGCATCGATATTTCACCCCATCTCATAATTAATGTTTTCCCGCGAGTCCTTCGGTAAAAAAAAAAAAAAAAAAGTTTCAAAACCGAGCTACCACAAGCCGAGCTCATTAACCGCAACAGAACGAGTAGTCAGCAGTGAGCAAATCAGCTTAAAAATTGGTCTGCAACTCGCAGAAACAGATGTGCTCCGTGAACTGGTTACTTTCCACAGGAGAAAAATACAACCTGCTCTGTTACTTGAATGCACGAGCACGTTTTCAAATTACTCGTTGAACTCCATTCGATGATAATCGCCAATTAATTTTCGAAAATTCTTTCCCTTGCTGTGCCGTTTTCGGTGGTTGATACGTTCGACATATTCATTGGAATTATAGAAATTTCTGTTGAATTTTTTTGTCTCTCTATTCAGAAATATTCTAATCAATAATTTTGCAAACGAGAGAATTGTGTATGAAAGATTATACAAAAATCAAACTTTGTCTGTGAAAGTTTGTCTGTAATAGAGTTTTCCTATTTTTTTATAGATTACTCTAGTTTGATTGCAACGAGAGAAAATTCTTTGTGACCCGAATCGTTTTCTTCATTCGTGTTCCACTTTCCTTTATACCCGGTCTGACTGAAAGATTCCAAAAGTTATACAATTTTTCGTTTCGGTGACTTCGCAAGCAATATTGCACGCCGAGCTTTTTTCGAACCTGATGAAGTTTCGAGTAAAAACGAGGGAGAAAGGGAGAGCAGAAAAACGATGAAACCAACGAAAGAAAAAGTCTGATACCCGTTCTGAAAGTATACTTTGCCATCTGAATGAGAAGCCGAAATTGTGCAGCAAGAGAAAACCACTTTGTAGTTGTCACGTAAAATGTAACTTCAAACATAAGTGCAAATTACTTCAAGAAAATATACATTTCCTAAAGAAAAATGTAAAAGACATACAAATACGCTATAATACATACATTTACTCTTATCTAAGTGAGAAATAACCAAGTAATAATTCTATTTATACGAAATCGATACGTTGTCTGACCATATACGCACCTCTACTACTTACACGAATAATTCCAGTAACTAAACCTCCTGTATTCTTACAATATTCACAAAACTACGCAAAAGATCTACTAATTTCTTTCAAAATACATGTAACACCATCACCTAACATACACAAATACACTGTAAAACCAGAACAATAAACAAGAAACTCAACTTTACGCAATTCATTTTATTCCAGCAAAATTCCCCTCTAAATTCGTCCTTAAACCTTACCTATCCTCGCAAGAATCGTTTCAATTACCCATATCGACAAGATCTCCATAAGAAACACTCAAACACCCACAACACGCCTCACGGTAACACATGCAAAGTGGCAAAGTGGCTGTCGAGTAGTCAGACAGCAGCACTTCGTGGCGTGAAGTGTGAGTTGTACAAGGTATCTCTCGCTCTCGATATCGATTGTCGCCGGTGAACTTCCTAGACAATCCGGGATCGTTGGAGAAACACGGCCAGATCCGTGGTAACCAGCTGTTTCTCCGTAGAAAAGCGCAACAGGTAACGCGATCTGGCTGTGGTGCGGCTGGTTATGGTAACGGGTCACGCTTGTCGCTTGTTCGAAAACGCGGAACGACGTCCAAAAACGCGTGGCCAGGGAAAATAACGTTTATAAAGAGATGGGCCGGTAGGAGCGGAGTTTCATCGAGAAAGGAACGAAGCATAGCCCAGGTTGGAGGCCAGCAACAGGTATGCTTTTCTGATAGGCGAATTATCGCGTCCGGGGCCGAGGAATCGTTGGAAAAACGAATCGAAGTGGAAAGAGGTGTGCTCGTGAAAGACACGAACAAACAGCTGGAGACGGCATGTCGAAGTTTTTAATTAGTTCGCGAGCGAACAGGTCGTTATCGACGCGACCAGCTCACTGAAAATCGTAGGCAATTTAAAGTTCCGCCGCTCTCGTACCAGGTTGCCCGCGCGCCGCGCACAACTTCTCGACAAGATTATCCAATCAAAGAATTCCGATAGTTTCGCGATCAATCCCGTGCCGCTTGTAATTCGTCTTTTGATCTGTTGGGACGTATGACAACGAGTTATGGGCTGACAGGCTTGATACGCGTGCAGAGACGTCGCTGTAAATCGTAAGTGATGAATGTGGAATGTTCGAACGGTACTTATGAATGAGGGAGAGGTGCTTTTGCGAGGATTTAACGACTATGGGGATCAATGCTGCAGCTCTTTTTTTTTTTTATTCAATACTATAGAAACTATATTTTCTTTGAAACTTAAATGATTTAAGAACATCAACGAATCTTTGTGGAACGAACGATTACACCTTGAAGAAACAAGTTCCCTCAACTCATTCCATCATTCCTCACTTCCAAATTTCTTATTCCATCATTCCCTCATTCCGTCACTCCTCCTCATACACCTCATCAACCTCTCCCCATCTCTCTCACATTCCAAACTCAATCACAAAACTCCATCAGCTCCCATCAAACGATGCAACTACCAGCAAAGTGAAACAACCCGAACTCTGTTCCCCGAAATAGCTTCAGCATGACAACGTCGACCGCGACGATGCACGATCAAGCCAACAATGCGACGAAATTGGACACTGTGGCTCGAGAAGAGTGGTCCACCGAACATTGCAACAACCACGCTAAACAGCAGCAAGCATTAACGCTCTAGGCTCATCGAAACGATTCAACAGGCGATAGACTCATCGTTAAACTATGAAGTCATGAAGCTTCTGTTATTACTCGCACTGCTCAGCTGCGTGTGCTCGGCCAACAGCGAGCCGAGCGAACGATGGATATCGAGATTAGAAGATGTTCGATTCGACGATGACGATTACACCAATTACAAGTTGATCGATCGTGAAAAATCGAGCATCGAAGAGGAGGAAGAAGAAGAAGAATATGACGACGATCAAACGTATTCGCGAAAGTACGCGAGTTCTTTTCGCTTCGAGAACCCGCTGACTCATCATCTGATCCGGCACGGCAGACGCCAGTTTCGCTCCATGGACCTGAACATACCTCCTTCCAAGAATTGGCCGGTGAAGAAGGAAGCGGTTGTCGAGGGCGATCTCGTGTTAGGCGGTTTAATGATGGTGCACGAGAGGGAGGACACGGTCACGTGTGGACCAGTGATGCCACAGGGAGGCGTACAAGCCCTCGAAGCGATGCTCTACACCCTTGACAAGCTGAACGAAGGAGAGGGTATCGTGCCAGGTGTGAAGATTGGAGCACACATACTAGACGACTGCGATAAGGACACGTACGGGCTCGAGATGGCGGTGGATTTCATAAAAGGTGAGTAAGGCTGATTCTAAGAACGAGGCTTTCTTCTGTTTTTTGGGGGATACGATTGTGTCGGGTAAGAGTGAAAGTTTGAGATTTATCGCTGGAGAAGGGTGGAAAATCATTTGTTCGGGACATGAAATTAGCTCGAAGATGACAAATTTTTTGTGGAATGTAGTAACATGGAGATTATTAATAATAATTGTGCTGCAGTTTATATGTACTTGCTTACTTATTTTAGTGAAATTTAGGACAAATTTTGTCGAATCGACCATTATTTCATAATATCAAAAATTGAGATAACTTGTTCATAATAAGTGGAAGTAATTTGTTCGATATATGAAGTTAGTTTGAAGCTGACGAATTTTTAATTGCATGTAATAACATAAAAACTGATAATAGTAATTATCCTGCAATTTATACATATTTGTGCGTTTATTCTGTTTAGGTATTGCAACGATAAGTATGACAAATTTCGCCGAAAGGGCCAATTCTTTAATTAAAACGCGAAACGAAACTGTCTAAAATAAAGAATTCTTTATACAAATTAATTTATCAAATTCAATAAACTCATTAATGAAATTTAATTAAATTCTTAATTAGAAAATCAATCGTGAATTCTTCCACGCATTTTCAGCGGAAATCAGTTCACGATACAGCTTCTGCATAAAACTGAACGTACATAAAACAAAAATTTGCTTCTCTCAGACTACTTGAATAACTGTTTTCCCATTTCCTCAATAAAAATTTCCCGACGATTACTTCACACTCTTCCAGCAAGAGTTACACCGGTAAAACGTTCCGTTCTTCACAATTCTCAGACTTAAAAAAAAAAAAAATGAGAAACGACTCGCACTCCAGAAATATACTAATCACTGTAAAATACGCTACTAGAAACAGCGAGGGGAAAAAATTGACGATTAAAAGAACCTTCTCTGCGCTTCCTCGTCGTAAAATCTGCACGATATTCAGCTCGGCGCAAGCTGCTTTCCGTGGGAAAAAATTAGAGCGACATTGAAACGGTCCGCTGCCAACGTTTCTACAATTAAACGAGCGCATAATCAAGAACGTCACGTCGTTCGTTGGACCGTAATAGGAAAGGATGCGCGGCCGTAGCGGCGATATTAAAACGACGGGACGATTTTTCTGAATCGTTAGCCTGCTTCTTGCGGCCGCGACAATAAACCGCGAACAAGGCGAGAAAGTATAATCCACCGTGGTGGCATGGTCCGCTTTTATCTGCGAAAAGTGTTCGGATAAGTATCGTGGCCATTAGCGTTTCCGCTGCCTGGCGGATCGCGGAAAAACCTTGCCCCCGTGAAAAACACTCTGTCTTTCTTTCGATAAATCTTCTTTCGATAAATCAAATTTTCATTTTCCCCGCATACTTTTCTCTTTCGTCCCCTTTTCCGTCTCTCCGTGAAACACGTGTCCGAGTGAAACGAAATATCGACGAGAAAGGAACAGTTAAGTAGACGAAAATGACAAATAATACACGAATTTACACATATGAGTGTATATGTGTATTTGTGAAATGCAAACGAAGACTGTTTGTAGTTGAAGGTTCGTTCAAACGTAGGAAAAATTGGGTTCTTTCAATCTGCAACTTTGTAACTGGATGAATGATAAATGTCAAGTATTATTAAGCGTAGAAACGAAATTTTTCGAAGTTTCGTTTAAAAAGAATGAGAAGAAATCGAGTACCCAAATAATTTCCACCTTTCGCCATTTTTTTGATAGAAACTCACAGAATTACGTGAATCCAGGTTGGAAATAATTTATTTCACGTGTAATTATTTATTACACTTAATGCAATCTACAAGGGGAGTAATTTTTGAAATTAATCAATTCAACGAAGAGGAAAGAAATATATTTCAGATGTTCAAGCCGCGTCAAGATAATAAGACGAAGAGGTGGTCTTAAAAACGAATCTCAGACTAAGAAACAGCCAGGTTTGGTAACTGTGTCGTAAACCACGGCTACGTTGAATCCTAACACCAGCTGTGCAGGATGTCGCTAACTTGGAGGCTTTTACGATACAACTGAGGTGGTTAGGATGTTACTCTAATTAGCACAATTTCCTGCCGCGACTCGGCAATGACATTTCCAAGCTCTGTCCAGAAACTTCCCCGGCAGAGCTGTCTTTTGCGCAAATTTGCATAACACTTCGTCTACAACTTACTTTTACTCAGTCCGCCAAAGAGGACTTTGATAAACTGAAAGAAGTCACACATTTCCAACCGATGTAACAGCACGTGAACAAAATTTTCACGTGTAACTTATATTTGCACGTAGAAAAATTGCGATACGAGAAGTCATTCGTAGCGAAACGCACGAAACCCTAAAAAATTTTGATAAATTTTACGTGGCAAATAATGCTGACCACGAATTTTAGTTCAAACCAGAAAATAAAAGCAGTAAAGGATGTTTAATCTACGCCAAGTATCATACTTATGCAAATACAGCGCGTGTCCTTATTTTGCAAGCAGTGTGTACACAGAGTGTCCGAAAATTTAGATAAAACAGCTCTGATTCACGAAAACAATGCACACGTAACCCTTTGCAATCGAGTGGCGACTAAGAAGCGGCATTAAATAATCGTCACTTGGTGAATAATTAACGAAGACAGAGAACAGATCTACGGGCCTCCATAAATTTCTGCACCACGGTGAAATAGAGAACACTTTGAATATTTAATTAACGTAGTATACTTTATTTCTACGTTAGTTTGAAAAAATTTCAAAGATCCGACTTGCAACCTTTTCTACAGCAAAATCACCTCCGAGTGCAAAGGGTTAAATACACCTCGACATTAGTTTAAATCAATTTCCTACAAAGTTCAAGAACAGTTCTTGTATATCTGTACAACTGGATTTCATTCTACCGAAAGGCAGCCAAGAGAATTAAAATTCAGAAGCAAACAGCGATACTTTTCTATATTCTACTGCAGTAAAGTCGAGGTAGAAGCGGGACCAAGTGTTAAGAATTCAACACAGCTGCTTCTCTCCCCTAATTAGACGTTTCAACACAACTTCCTCCCTCGAACTTAAAATTCCGCCAAAAGTCTTGTTTCCCCTGGAAGGACAGACGGTATTAACCGTCCGATATTTCTTTAATCCTTCGCGTGCGAGGAATTTTCTATCAGCCTTCGCTCCAGACACGACCAAACCAATTCGTACAACTCGCGAAAACCAGAGAAGTAAAAGAAGACACACACTACGGTCGTTTGTCAAACGAGTTAGCGAACGTGAAAAAGTCTCGGAACGGTGATAGAGACGTCGCAGTAACAACACGACTACTGCAGTCGCTCGTTAATGGCCTAATGTCGTTAAAAGACAGAACTGCGAAACAGTTCTCGTGAAGGAAGGAAGTGGAAAAAGGAGGATCTGTTCCGTGACGAGGGAAATTCGAAGAAGTATACTGCCGGTGGAAGAGTCGCGAAACATCCATTCGCCTGCAATTACACCGGAACAACTAAAAGTGATTAAAAGCGGTAGTGAATGGACATCGGAAATTCGATTAATGCGCACAAAGGATGGAGGGTAGACAGTGACGGGAAAATGGCTTATACTAACGTAATCGGGCTTGCATGTCGACGCCCACGTAGCATAAATTATTTGCAGACTTTCCCGATGCCTCCGCCGACCATCGCCGTCATTCGCCTGACTATTATCACGTGAACTGATGAGCCGTAATAACCATGTCAAACTGACCAGCGTACGACAATGGGTAATTATTTATAGACACGTCTGATGGGCTGTCGATTCGTTGGATAACACTACACGTGGATAATTGTGCGCCAAAAATTCTGGGAACTGTTGGGACGGTGGAGCGTAAAGGAAATTTTGTTGCTTGAGTTTTTGTGATTTTGTGATGATTGAGGAAAAGTTGACGAGCATCTTTTGAATAATTTTTTGTCACTGGAATCAGTCGGGGGGAAATGAATTGCTATTGATCTGTGCAATGATAATTTGAAATTTACAAAGAATTAGTAGCTTAGCAACTTAGAATTTTGAAAATTTATTGAAATAATGAAGAAGGAATATTTTTTACACTGGAAAGAATCGTCACTAAGTTATCAATGGATCATATTATTTTTATTACGAATATCGAGTGCCTCGGCAGTTTAAAAAATTGGGAAAGTATGACTCGCATTGTGATATTTTATAGTAGTAACTCATGAGTGATAATGGATGTGAGAGAGGAAATACTTTTTACACTGGAATGGAAGAATCGTTACTAAGTTGCCAATGGTTTCTATTATTTTTGTCATAAATATCGAATGCTTCGACAGTGTAAAAAATTGGGAAAGTATGACTCGCATTGTGATATTCTATAGTAGTAACTTATGAGTGATAATTGATGCAGAAGAGAAAAGTGGAAAGTAGAATTTTCGGGGAATGTGAGAAATTTGCAACAAGAATAGAAAACAAAGTTGTACAGTAGAGCTTTCTATTAACGAATTACAATGACTCAACTAAGTAGTAAAAATTGAGTTAAACGAGAAGTACGAGAAATGTACGATTACTATTGATGAGTAGTTACCTCAGCTGAATGGAGAGGAAAGTTATGGGCACTTCGTGTATCAGTGCAGAGTGCGATCTTCATTGCTCAGTACCTCATAAACTATTGAGTATCTGTTGAAACGATCGAACACTGTTCGAATCCTCCTTGACTTGCCATCTGGCTACGAAACACCATAGAAATTACTACTCTACTTATGAGATCTGTATCCTTACACTGTACAGAGTGTTCTAAACGTTCGAATAAAAGCTTCGATACTCGATAAAATTTATGTTACTTCCCAGTTTTATTTCTTTCTCAATATTTACGATTTATGAGTAGAAATAAAAAGCACGTCGCTACACAGGTTACTTCTATACAACTAAACGATGTAATAGCTAGAGACAACTTAATTAACTCTCAACCAGAAACTCCGATGACCAACTTTTCACCTGTCAACTCTGACAGCTAACTATCAACTAAGTTACCAACTAGCAACTAACTCAACT